ATGGGGCCAGGCAGCACCTCTGAGCAGACAAGGCAGCCCCCAGCAGAAGGGCATCTCCCTTTGCATTTCAGGCATCGCCCTGGGACTAGACAAGGACACTTTTCTAAAACAGGTGCATTTGGGCAGGTCTGAGTCATCGCCTGACATATCTCAGGAACTTTCCATTTTAGGCCTTTGGCACATTCTGATGATGTATAAAAACCATGCTCGTTATACAAATACCGGGGAGGGTCACGGCTGGCTGGGTAATGTGGGGCCAGCAGCCACACCCGGCAAGAGCCACCAGATGCCTGGACCCGGTGGGTCCCTCGGGACCCGGGAAGGTCTGGTGGTTAAGCTGGAAGAGTCGCCTCTAGACATCGCTGCCACCATTTCCCTCCCGGGAGCTCCGTGCGCACCTGTATCACCGGTCTTATCCATTTGTAAGCTTTTGTAAGCTCCTTAAAGAAAACCAGTGTATTTTCTAGGCTTAATTGCACATTGCCCAGTGTTCTGTCTCCCACGCTGTCAGTGGACAGTCGTGAGAAACGGTCTGCTCCTTCGGGACCACAGCACACCAGGCAAAGGGCCAATCAGGTGTGTTATCCACGTGCCCAGAGAGTAACTTCTTACTGGTTCAGAATGTAATCATAAAAACAACACATTTTCTTAAGTCGCACCACACACAGTGTATTATACTGACAAGGAAAAGGGTTTGACAAACCTCATCATTTCTGACATATTTCACAAGGAAAACAGTGAGGTTCTCCTACTGCGGTGACCCCCCCATTATAGCTGACGCCCCGCTTCTTATTAGCGCTTTTGAATTGCTTCTTAAGAGGCTATAACACCGGACGTTTGGTACTTTTTCTGTCGCCTCGTCGTGTGTTGCGGGGGTGGGGTTGGGGTGTGCGGAATAAACTTGTACAAATGACTCTGCCTCTGAGTATAATTTTCGGTGCCCACCTCTAGGACGGGGATACTGAGGGGACAGGTATCAAAAACAGTGGTTCCTATATTGATTTATTCTCTGCAGATTCTTCTCTAAAGCCGCCTGCAGTGTCAGAGCTCAATGACATCACCTCAGCCACAGGAGCCAAAGCTCACGGTCCAGGTGCTGGGTGTGACATCTCCCTTGCAGCCCCTGGGGAGGCTGAATTATCCCCGAGCGTGAAGAGGCAAACAGAGGGCCCCTGCCATTCCACAGTCTTGACGGGCAGAACGGAACCGAGTCTTGCCTTAGAAACCGAGGAAGTTGAGGAAAACCATAGTATAATATCCAAAAAAGTTATCAAAAGACAACTGAATGAAGATATTTCAAAACAAATATTCAGTTGTTCTTTATTTTATCAACTCGATAAAATGATTTTATATTTGTTTTTGAACTATGTTTTTCTATCATTAAATGTGAACTTTATAATTCTTTAAACTTTCAAATTCCCCAAATAAGTTCTCTTCTGCTGTACTTGGGTGGGATTTCAACCAAATTACAGATGAGTCACTTTCTGTGTAAGAGTTGTAACAATTCCATCTGCGTGTGCATATTAATATTTGTGTAAATGTAATTGTCTTAACCCAGACAGCTCCCAAGCAAATGAGCCTGTGATGTATAATAAATGAGTAGGTGTTAATCTGTGTGTGTGTGTGAGGTATTTGGGGTTGTTAAAAATCACACGCGTGTGCCTCTGTTTGCTGGGCGCGTGGCCCCCGTCGCGGGCTGTCTGGGTGAAGCCCAGCCCCTTCCGCGTGGGGCTAGCGCTCCCGTTGGTTCGGGGCCACTCCCAGTCATAACTGCCTGTGCCCGGTGACCGCAGGGACAGAGCCAAAGCAGTGCCCCTCCCCACACACTCTGCCTCCCCCCGCCCTGATCTTGGCTGGTGGTCTCCAAGCGTGAGAACCAAATGGCCAGGTGACAATTTAAATCAAAGCAGTGTGTCAAAAACAAACCTTTGAGTGAGGAAACCTGAAGTGGGGCAGCTGCAGAGCGCCCTGCCGCGGGGAGCCGACCTTACCTTCCGGTGTCCCCAGAGCTGGTTCCCCTTCATGCCGTGACAGTCGTACAGGGTGACCGCGCTGCTGTGTGAGATGGCGTCGAAGCAGAACTTCCGGGTGTGCAGCGGCTCACCAGGGCGAATGTCTTCTCTCCAGCCGAAGGTAAAGAGCTGGCAAAGGGACAGTAGCAGGAAAGCCACAGTGAGTGCAGTCTGCAGAGGCTGGAGAGCCGGGGCCGGGGGCCTTGCGGCACAGCCAGCTCCTGCTCCGTGATGCGCCAGCAGAGAGCGCCGCCCGCCTGTCCGGGCTTAGCAGCGGCGCTGACAATGGCACGGGCGCCAAGTCTGTGCGGGAGCCGCAGGGCAGCTTTGGCCCAGGCCGCCCCAAAAAGCGAGCGGTGGGGGGGTGGTTTCCAGGGAGACAGAGAGGCACGGAGGGACAGAGGGACCAAACCTGCTAATGAAGCTCTTTCCAGTCTTCACTTAGGTAAAATGTTAGTGGATTTAATGCTTCACAGTTCACCTAAATGGGCAGATTCACTGAGAACAGACCAGGAGTGGGGCTGAGCTGGAGTGCCCACAGCAACCTGCAGATTTTGATTTAAATGAAAACTAAGCTTGAGGAAGTCACGAACAAGGAAATTGATGTCCTGGGGTTGCCGGGAGTAATTCTGCCGGGCAATGTAGAGCGTTTCGGACTGACTCGCAGAAAGAGATTCAGTTTACACACACACAGGTGTCCTCCCTCCACCCCCGAACTGAACAGAAGTTTCCTGAAATGGTATTTGTCCTCACTGCCTTTAGTAGACCCTGACCTTTTCCTGTGCTGGTCTATTCTGTGCCATGCGTCCAGTCTATTATTAAAAAAAGTGCTCCCTGTGATACACCAAACTGATTTTACCATGTATTAAATTAAAACAACATTTCTATAAAGAAAGGATATTTCTTGAGTTTGAGCTGGACCACAACCTGAGGGGTTCAGCAGGAGAAATCCTTAAGCAAGTGGGAAAATGGACTAGACTGGCCCCAGGATTTCTTCCAATCCCAACATCTCAGTGAGGTCATCGAATTCTTACCATAGGACTCAGATCGGCCGGCCTGAGAAGCCAAGCTGTGAATCGTAAAATCTTTATTTTTCGGAGAGACTCTGTCGACATTAAAAGCAAGCATGGTGCTGGGTTTTGTGTAGACAACACACTTGGCTCTGACCAGGCCCTCGGGATGCCCTGGGTATTAAAATGCAGAGAATCAGGCAAAATTCCAGGGATGGCTAATAAAAACAGGCAAGTGGTGGGGAAACTGCAGAAAACGTGAAAAAGCTGGGTGAAACGGTCTGAAGGAAGTTGGAAAGACCTGAGCTAAACCTAACATCTGAACGTGTCGTCCGGGAGGCATGGCGCGAGGCTGTGTTCTGTTTCCCCGGAAGACAGGACAGCGTGGGATGTTTTCTATAGAAGAAGGGGTTTTAGGTGAGGCGCCTGAAACAGACTCACAAAGAGCAATTGCACGGTCTCTTTTCCTAGAGTTGTTGCTGGTTTTGTGTCTTAAATACGACTGTGGGCTGAGACATGCTTAGACTCATTCAAATCCTACGGAGGGCAATCACTTCTCAGGGACAAGTGTCTGTTCAGCTACTTCTGACTTTGATCACTGCCTTCAGATTGGGACTTATGACTCCCTTGGGTTTTGAGATACTGAGCTCCCGTGTTATCCGAGGACTCTCGCCTAGTTGCGGTCCATTTTTAACCATCCCTTCAGCGCAGGGGCAGCTCAGGGTTCCTCTGACCCAGTCTGTGCGCCTTCTCTGGTTGGTCTTAAGACACACTCAGTTCAGCTCGTGCCAATATGTGGATAACTCGTCATCTGTGTCACGTCCAATGTAGAAGTTCCCAACCGCAAGCCCCACGGACATCTCAAGGTCAACGTCTCCTGAATTCCCTTGATTTTCTTCCTTTCTAAGCCTGCTCCTACTCCTGTTTTGTGTCAGTTGGCGGTTACATGATTGAGCCTCTCAACCCCAGGGGTCTTTCGTCTCTGCCTCCTTGGTCCCCCCCCCCCCTTGCCATCCACTCCATCTCCAAGTCTTGCCACTGTGTCTCCCAGATACTGCAGGCCGTCGCCCCCTCCCCTCTGTTTCCACCACCTTCTCTCTCCACGCATCCTGCCTGGGCTGGTGAAACGACCTTCTAATTGGTGTCTTTTCCCACCTTCCTCTTTTGGTTCCTTCATAGCAATCTGAATGACCTCTTTGACCATGCTACCTCTTAACCTGAAACCTCCCCGTATTTTCCCATAACCCTTAGAGAACAAAGTTCAAACTCTTTAACACACAAAGAACTTTCCACTGTTTTCCTCAGCTGCATCCTTTCCCCTTTAGTTATGCTCTAGCAATAATAAAACATTTGTCTTTTGCTAAGAGGGTACATAAGTTCTCATCATAAGGGAAAAAATTCTGCAACTCTGATGACGGAGGTTCACTGCCACAAAGGAGGTGATCATTTCACAGTCTATACCAATGTCAAGTCAACGAGTTGCACACCTGAAACTAATGTAGTGTTGTTTGTCAGTTACACCTCAGTTACAAAGTGTAGTTGCTTGCACGAAGCAGGCCGTATGTGTTCTCCCTTCTGTAACTTTATGAGGCTCTCTCTGACTGGAAGGCCCCTGTTCACCAGCCAGTCTCGTTACAGCTCACCCATCCTTCCTTCACTCTGAACAGTCCCTCTTCCCTCCCTCGCCTAAATTTCATCACCACCGTCCATCTGTGCCTCCACATCCCTCTCTAGACAGTGAGACCCTTGATAGCGGGAGTCGTATCTTCTTCATCTTTGTGTTTCTAGCCCTCAGGACAAGGCATGACATTTAATTAGTGTCCAATGAAATTTCTACTGAGTAAGCAAAAACGTGCACTCATTATATTAACAGCCAGTGCACCAGGATAACTGTCAAGATGAACCAATTAGGCTGTTCAGTTTCTCCAATGGATTTGTGTTGTTTGTGTCTAATTACAACAATAGCAATGATGATTATTTTTTGAGCTTTCACCTTCAGTGATTCCAGGCTCGGTTACCTATTGTGGGTATAAAAATTTCCTGGCCTATAAACCTGTCATTGGTTAATCTTTATGTTATTTATTTTTTATTACCATTTTAAAACAATTGAAGTGTAGTTGATTTACAATGTTGAGTTAGTTTCTGGTGTACAGCATAGTGATTTAGTTATACATACACATTTTTTTCAGACTTTTTTCCATTATATGTTATTATAAGAGGTTGAATATAGTCCCCTGTGCTATACAGTAGGTCCTTGTTGCTTACCTCTGATATATATAGTAGTGTGTATTTAATTCCAAATTCCTAATTTATCTGTCTCCCTTCTTTTTCCCCCAGTAACTGTAAGTTTGTTTTCTATTTCTGTGAGTTTGTTCCTGTTTTGTAAATAAGTTCATCGGTGTCATTTTTTTAGATTCCACATAGAAGTGATATCATATGATATTTGTCTTTCTCTGTCTGACTTACTTCACTTAGTATGACATTCTCCAGGTCCATCCATGTGGTTGCAGATGGCATTATTTCATTCCTTTTTTATGGCTGACTAGTATTCCATTGTATAAATATACCACATCTTCTTTATCCAATCATCTATCGATGGACATCTAGATGGCTTCCATGTCTGTATGTTATTTAAATATCACATCTCCATGGTACTCTCAGTAGTGCAGCCAATGCAGGAACCAGAGGTCTTGACTGGTTTATCCATTTTCCTCTTTGTCTCTCTTTCTCCTTTTGGTTTTAATGCCTATGGGAGCCAGAGCTGAAAGGTGCTGTAATCAGCACCCAGCAGAGTCTCTCCTCATCCAGGTGGGGGCAGCTGTCCCACAGGGGTGCATGGGTCTGCACCCCACACTTCAAGTGTCCAGGCTTGTGTATTCTTTCATAGACAGTTTTCCCTTACTTTTTACTTTCTTACTGTTTACTTTTCTTACTTTTCATTCAGTACAGTAGTTAAGTCCAAAAGCAGACGGGCACACTCCTCTCTTGGCCGATTTATACACCTGTTGTCACAATTCCATCTCAGGGCACCCTCGGGTGGCTTTTTATTTCTTGTTTCCAGGTTTGTTATTACAGTGCAGTTAGCCATTCTCAGACGTGTAGGCTGGTCGGTAGCTTGTGGTCCTCACAGTGTTTTATGCATTATTATTATTGTTGTTGTTGTTGTTGTTTATTGTTATTATTACTACTACTATTACCTGGTTCTTACTTTCCTGCATCCCAGGTGACACGTCTTCGGATTATATGAGCTGCTTTATTCTTCCTCATCTGCCATTAGCTATGATTTTTCTGTCTTATGTCTTCCAAACGCTCTCTCCTGCCTTGCAGCTTATCCTGGTGGTCAGGTGGAGCCCATCGGCCCTAGCGTTCCATTTCTTACACCCACTTTCCTGCGTGCAATCGCGTCAGGGCAGGAAGAAGCAGACGTCAGCCCGGACTTCGTGGTTTGCACAGGTGATGTCATGACGCTGGCACTTGGCCTCCCACCCTCGGGCTGCTCCTTGCAGCCGAGAAGTATTTAGATTTTATTCGGGTTTCCTGCACAGGGCCTCCTGATTTTTTTTCCCCAGCCTCAAATTCCTTAACTTTGGGGTAAACTGATGTTAATTTCTCCCTTTTCTTCTCCGTGCTGACACTTGAAAACAGGTTCAGAATGATGTGGAAGTCCTACTTCTTGGCTTTAGTATGAACGCTGTGTGTGACGTTGCCTGAGTCTGTCTTGTACTGTGTGAACCGGCTCAGGAGACTCGCACAGAACA